ACAAATTTTGTATTTCAAACTTTTGAGTTTTTAATCTACCGTCCCTTCAGAAAGTTTAAGCTTAACAATCTAAAACTTGATAATATTTTTCATCTTCTGATTATTTAAAATTTACTTTAAACTTCCAACTTCCAACTTTCAAACGTTTTAGATTTTTAGAAATTTTGAATTTTGATTTAAACACTCATCTTTTAAATAACCAAAACACTTTTTACATTTTGGGTTTTTTATAAGTTTACTTTAAATATCCAAAATATCAAATTCCAAACCTGGTTTGAATTTTGAAACTATTTCAAAAACAATTTTGGTTAATCAAAAGAGATTTTTGATAGTTAGAATATTAAACTGAAATTCAAAATTCAAATTGGGTTTGGAAATTTAATATTTTGGATATTTAAAGTAAAATTCTAAAACTCTAAGTATTTAGGTTATTTGAAATTAGAACATTTGAATCAAGATTCAAAATTTCTAAAAATCTAAAACGTTTCAAAGTGGGATTTTAGAAGTATGAAGCTAATTCTAAATAATCAAAAGACGAAAGATATTGGACTTTTACTAGAAGCACCGACTTCTACAGTTGACTGTTTACTTCGACTTTTAAACAATCACATCTTCGGAGGTCCAGAATTGATAATAGAAAAGAAAGCCTTTCTGGTGTTCATGGTAATGGTGTTAGGGTCATTTGTATGTGAAGGCCGTACACTGTCCTCGTGTGAGAGTAATTCGTCAACCGTAAAAGTCAGTGCTTCTCGTAAAAGTCCATTAATGAACAATAGATTGTTAAGTGTAAACTTTCTGAACAAGCGGTAGACTAAAAACTCAAAAGTTTAAAATACAAAAATCGTTTTTGGAAATTTGAATTTTGAACATTTAAGGTAAAAATCTAAAATATCAAAATTTTAAAACCTGTTTGGAAATTTGAAAATTTAGATTTTTGAACTAAAATATTAAATTTCAATATACCAAATCAGTTTGAGTTTTTGAAAGTTAGATATTTGACTAATATATTAACATTCTAAAACTCTAAATCATTTTAGAAATTTGAATTGCTAAGTGTTACACGGACCTAAAAATTAATGTTCTTTTCATATGGTGCCAGAAAAATAGACAGTAATTGTGAACAAAAGAATTGATGGTAAAAATGGTATCCACCCATTCCGAAAAGAATGAAGGTGTTATGTGCTTGTTAAGTTGAGTAATATCAGCAGAAATATTTCAATTAAACAAATCTATTTCGATTCATATTTTTTTTACACACTTACCTGTATTTGTACTTTGGGAAGTCTTTCTTAAGAGTGACGGTGTTATGGCAGTAGTCTGATATTGGTTAACTATTGGATTTGTGTTTTGTTGTTTTGATGTTGTGCTTTCGGCTTGAAAATTTAAAAAAACTGATTTATTAAATACATAACGTGAAATAATGAAGCTATTCCTCCGAAAATAGTAACTGATAACCATTTAGGTAGAAATATACTTATGGAAAAATTGATATTTTTGATAATCTGAAAAAGTAAAGCATTGCTTTTCATAATAATTCATTTTATATGTAATTAGATAATGTAAATATGCTGTAACAATTTTGTCAATTTGAAGTAACTCACTCTGAATAAGACTGGTTTGACACACAAGTGAGAGCTCACGAGAACAGTTGACTTTCTCATATAACCATAAGTCCAACTTCCTCCTAATTGCAAAGCAACCTTTGTCTGAATTTATGAAAAGAATTTTGATAACTAAACAGGTCAAATAATTTTGACAAATGGATAATCGGGTCTCCCTGTTTTAAGATGTCAATTTAAAAAAAAAAGAACTTAAGCTATTTCAGAAATTCACAAATACACACAAAGAAACACATGTAGAAAAGAAACTTTTTGTTGGTATAACACTTTATGGGTGGCGAGTAGATAGGACAACAATACTCTGCTTCTTTAAATGTTAACAAGAAACGTAGGTCACAATACTCTAGTTAGTTTGACCCAAGCATTTTGCATCAGAAACTATTTTACACGTTTTTATTCGTAATTCATATGGAAAATTTTGCTCGCTTGTTGAAGCCCAATCCTAATTTCAAAGAAGCATAACTAAAATGTACAATTCATGGCAGAGCTTAAACATCAATATTGTCTAAAATGGCTCTGCTGTTTTGGAGGAGACATTTTTCTGTACACACGCATCATGTAAAAATTGATCCTTTTTTAATATACAAACAAGATGTTGTTTGAAACACTGATGCCCCTGTCTGACAGCTTATGATGCAGATTGAAGTTTCTGAAATGCAAATCAAACGCCAATGTCAAGGTCAAAATTTTGGTATGAAGAGGAATGTCCTTTTACAAGAAATACACCTTAATTTTTAAATATGAAAGCCTTAGTACTAACTATTCAAATGTAATGACCATACTTAAAGTTTTTTTTACATCAAGGTCAAAAATATTTTAACCCATTGAAAGGACTTGTCACAATGAATACGCATGTGAAGTATGACAGCTCTATCACCAACTGTTCAAACGTTATGGCCAAGATCAGGTTTGGCATTTATTTTTGTAAAAGTGGGTCAAACCCCAAGGTCAAGAGGTCAAATTCGGTGAAACCCAAAGAAAGGTTTGGTCAAAAGAAACATGCCTGTGAAATATTAAAGCCATAGCCCCATTCAGTCAAAAGTCATGGGCAAGGTTAAAGTTTGTGCGGACAAACAGCTAAACAGACAGACGGACGGACGAACAGGGCAGAAATTAATCTTCGATTATGGGAACTTTTTTGACTGAATAAAAAGGTTAAACTTGGGAAATCTTTCTAATTTGAAAAATGTCATGAATTAATAAAATATTTGCAAAGGGTACATTTCATTTCATTAAACAGTTTACTTAAAAATGTAACTTTTTATCGTGACTGTATATTTAGAAATTAAAGTAGAATTTTTCGAATCGTTATCTGATCAAAGCACAAAGTTAGTCTAGAGATATATTTAGGTTCTTATTATGCCAAATATGTTTAAAACAACAACCAAACAAAACGATCACGGTATTTGCGTTTTATGATAAATAGTCAATATACATGTACACTGTATACAATTCTTTTTCACAATCATGGTTTTTATTGCACGTTTTATATAAACTTACCTCCATCATGATGGTAAATTTTGTATGTCCTTATTCCAGTCCAAACGTAACCGTTGCATCTCATTTTGTTGATTTCTGCCTGAATGTAAGCAGTAAGGAAACGTTTCTGTTCTTTGCAGCTCCTTGCATAGTCATTCCAAGTTGAATTCAGTTGATTTGGAATTAAGACGTCTTTTCCCTTAACTACAAAAATCGATATATTGATAGAAAATAATCTTATGACAATAATATTTCAAAGTAAAACAATCTTTATAAAATTATTATATAGATTCAACCAGATGAATTACATAAACTATTCATAAATTAACTTTAAATTTAATCACAAATATGGAAGATTATATGTTTAAACGCCTAAGGTTGTGTTATTACCATTACATGTACCACAAAATCCTTCATTCGTTCCGTCACAATCATGACCAGATGACACAAGTTCCTTTGATCGACAGTCGTAAGCCAAACAAAATCCATCGCCTTTAAATGTATCGTTGACTGAAAATGGAAAAATATTGAAATGAATTCAATCGCTGATTATAAATAGATTGGTTCATTTTTAAATGTTCTTATATGTGTTAATATGTTTCTTACAATAATGACCAAAAACTCTCTACTCTAAAAATACATGTAACAATAAGTGTTATTATTAATCATTTATTTAAAAACAAAACTTAGACAGGTCCTAACCTTCCGTAAAATTACATGATAAATCTTCGCTAGAAAATCAGGTTTATTATGCCATTTTTAAAGTAATACAAAGCAACTAAATAAATTAAAAGGAAGGCAAACACGGGTCCCAGGACAAATAAGAGGAGGGATCAGGTGCCATGGAGGTATAAGCAACCCTTCACACGGGCCATGAGCGCTTTGCGTTGATCAGGTAAAAAGAATTTGAAAAAATAGTTTGAAAAACAAGGACCTGAAACTTCGTATGGACAACGTCGGTCAACAATCAATTCTGTGTGTTTGCAATGAAGTACGTAACAATGTAGAAAATATTAACCTTAATACGCATTTTAATGGTACTGTTGATATCTTTGTGACTTTACTTACAAATTTGATAGTATGTTCCCGTATTTAATAAACCAGGTCTATACATGTAGTTTTAACAAATTATCCTTATATAAATGTTAGAGGCACTTGGATAACTTACTTGATACATTTACTAACAATGATCAGATAAAATTGTGTTCGTTTTTAATATGGGTTGTCCAAACAAGAAATCATTACCTTGATATAATGTAATATAGTCATTTCCTCCGCAGAACCCATCATCAGTGGAGTTATTACACGTTAGGTTGCACTTGACACTATCAATCAGCTTAAGACGAGGATTTGTGCAAAAACAGAAACAAGTCTCGCCCTGAACAATACAACAATTGAAGCATAATATACAAACGGCTACTATCTACAAACGTGTGCACGGTCACTGTGAGAAAATGTAATTTCAAAGGTCATGCAAATACTTTATTTCCTAGTAGAATATCCATAATTGTAACTTTTACGGAAAGAATCATAGAATTTTAAATACTTACACTTAGGGCAAAATATTCACAACCAGTTGGGTTCGTTGTTTGATTTCGGCATTTTGAAAAGCAATTCCCCACAGAGTTAGGTTTTAATGTAAAGTTGTTATTGTTCCAAGATGGTTGTGGAAAACAGCCTAGTGAATAAAAAAAACATATTCACAGAAATTTTAATACTTTGGGAGGAACTTTTTCAAAATAATTTTATGAAACAGAAACAGAATACCTCTGTATACTATCCAAGGAGTAAATGATCCCGTAACAGATGACCAAAACGGTGTATCTGCCGCTATCCTTAAACTGTCTTCGTTATTACTGACGGTTTCTAAATCCTTAATCCTGGTCAGTGTTCCATGTAAATCGCTACACCTTTCGTTTGCATTTCTCCAATCCAGAGTATAATTGTAAAATTGGAAGTTATATTTTTCCGAGGATCCTAATTCACGAGAAATATGATTTCAATGTAGGGAAAAAATACTCAATTCAAAAATCAATCCAATTAACAATATTTAACGAAAATTTTGATATTTGCTTACCTTTTGAAATAAAATGATGAGCAAATGTACAAATAAAACAGACATGCTTTATATGTTTACTGTCCACATTTTACATCTTATCAGCACTGATTTTTAAAATGTTAAAGCGCTTCCTTGTTCCAACAAAAGCGTGATAGATTGATATACAAATCCCTGCTTATCGATTTCACTATGAAACTTTATGGATAATTGATAGTTTATAAAAAACTTTTCCTGAATAAGATACTAAAATTATTGTAAATAGAAAAGGATGCGTAATAAACGTTTCTGTCCAATTGTAAGATGTTTGTGTGTATCCTTGTGTTCAGGGGATATTTAATGAAGATAAAATAAAGAATTCTTAAAAATTTTCAGTAGAAAAAGTTAGATAAAACATTTTATTATCAAACATTTGTAAGAATTGTATCAAACTGTAAAGTTGTGTTTCCCAATTTTTCACCCGTACAGTTCAATCAAATAGATATTACTTCATTAGATGCACCTATTGATCAAATATCGTTGAATTTTTTAGGGGAAAATATGAATTATTTATTCACTCCTTAAAGTTAAATGAAAAGGTAATCCAAATGTTTGTATTAGATGCGTGACAAAACAACATATCTAGAAGACCAAATATTGACAAAAGACAATCATGTTAAATAAAGTGCACAGAAGTGGATGTGTCTAAGGAACAAGAGGCCCATGTGGCACGCGCTCACCTGACTCACTCGTCATGTAAAACCTCATGTTTTTCCCATAAAATTATGATTGTCTTTTGTGGCCAAACCCTTTACTTGGAAGCATTAATTTTAAAAGGAATCATTTATGCTACCAAAGAATGCTTTCACATTAATATGATATTTATAGCTTTGCTATTTTTCAGAAGAAAAGTTTTGAAGATTTTATCTTGACATCTCAATGTTTCTGATGATTGGTGACGGAAACCCATTGAGGCCAGCTCAGAGAAAGAAATAAAGAAAAATTATACATTTTTTATTACTGAAAACGCAATTAGTTCGTTTAAACACGAAAAATCCTTTAATTGTAATAATCATTGCGTTTCATCGCAATGTACTTTGTATTTTAACATAGAATATTTTACGTTTAAGGTCAAGATCTAGTAAATGAAAGATGCCTACAGATTCCTCAAATCTGAGAAATAAATTTCTTTAATGATGCCTTATAAGTTAAGCGTGGGCAAATAAGGTGTTTCGGGGCATAATTTGTAGGTAAACAAGACGAAAAATCATAATTTAAACTGTCATTTTCAATGAAAAGTTAAGAAATCTAGTCATGAATATGGGAATTTTTTTTCCATATCAGACAAAGAAAATCAATCCAGATAACCTACAGTCTCTCAGAAAACGGTAATTTGTATGTTCTTTGCCTCCTCTTTAAAATAATGCCAAATTTAATATAGGCATCCAGATTACTTTTCATGTTATTTAAAATTGAATTCCCTGAAAATACTTTATTTTCTACATAATTTCCTTAGAGCCATAAAGTACGGGAAAAAGAGAGTTGAAAGTGATTAATATGACGTCATAATGGATTTAGCATGAAAAAGTTAGTCTAAAGATATTTACTAGATTTTGACCTTAATTGCAAAAGATAAGGTCATTGAGTCAAAATATCAAAACAAATGAAAACAGACTGGTCGATGTGTACTGTCAAATTTACAAGTGCTATTTATATCAATGAAACCATCGTAGTTACTAGTATTTGAGGTTTGTAATTAATTGATCAGAGGCATCCTTAAGAGTGTGAGATATAACACATTTAAGACATTTTTAAGTTACAATGCCATCGTTCACTACAATTTTCAAAAAAATGGTTTCCTTTTGCAAAAAGATACAGATTGAACCAAATGGTTCTTCTTTGGAGTGTCAGATCCTAGTGAATAAGTATTGGCTTATTGATTTCTGATTTTAAAACTACAGTATCATTAATATTAAATGCAAAATAAACCCTTTAAAAGAAGAATTATTGCGTTTAAACGCAAGATTCATTGCATTAAATCGCAAAAAATTATTGTATAAACAGTAGATCCATGAAATAAGGAAGTCCTAGTGTCGATTTTTTCGTGAGCCTAAGGTATGGCTACGTTGAAAGATTTTTAAAAGCAGATCAAACGAAATGGTTGAGGACAATTATGACAAATCTGTTGGAATTTAGAGGAAGGACTTTTCACAAAGAATAAATCTGTGAAATATTAAAGCCTTAGTTTTAACTGTTCAAAAGGTATGACCAAATGTAAAGTTTCTTAGAAGCGGTTTAAACTTTAAATCAAGGTCAAAATTATTTATCTCAAGAGATGTCTTATCACAATAAATACGTTTGTAAAATTCAATGTTCAAGCATTAACTATTCATAACCTATTCGGTAAATCTTTGCAAGAGTGGGTCGAGATCAAATATGCTGGTACCCCGACAAAGATCTTGTCATAAAAGTTATTGGTACATTCTCGAAACTTATATAGCGAAAGTAAGTATTCTAGTCTCATGCGAAGTAATGTCGAAAGCTCATCTAGCTGCTATTCTCTCTAGATTAAAACTTTTTAAATATCGTTTCTGATACATTAACGTAGGTGTTATCAACACTTTGTGCATTAAGCTGATCGTATGCACGAATTTTCTTCCTTATAGGTGCCATACAAACAACATATCTTTCCGTGTCAACTGTATTATCAGACTCTCGAAGGTTATGGCTTATGGTTGGTGGGATAAGCGAGTTATTTCCTGGTTTTCTGAAAAATAAAATTACGCCAATTATTAATCTTAAGGAATAGTTGACCACGTTTTTTTAACTAGAACGCACTTTAGCTATTTTTAATTGGTAGTAATCAGATTCCTACATGCCCTTCGTTCCTTTTTATTGTATACGTTATCTTTCATGGGAGGGCCTAATAGACAATGCTTGCTGTCCTATCCATTTATGTTTTACTATATATATATATATATATATATATATATATATATATATATATATATATATATATATATATATATATATATATATATATATATTATACCATACCTTCAAATCAATATCTGACGGGAACAATGCTTTTTGAATTAATCTCTATAGTACGCTTACATGTACTAAGAAATATGCTAATCAGTGGAGTTGATTGTGCTACATTTATAGTATTCTTATTTATGAAGGTAAACAGTGTTATAGATAAAGTTAAGATGTGTTTGGTGAAACACTGATGCAGGGTAACTCCAAGTTCAAAGTCTAGAGTTCAAAAATGTTGATACGTAAAGAAAGTTCTTGTCACAAGAAATACACATTGGAAAGGAATAGCCCTTGTGTCGTTTACTGATTTTTATTTGAAAATTAAAATAAGTACACGACTATAATGATAAAAGTTATACAAAATGCAAACACATCATGTACCCATGAAATTTCAGATAACATGATTTCTTCAAGAGAAAATGATTCAGTAACTGGAGTCGTAGTGTCTTTATGGTAAATAAATGATGGGACAGTTTGAGAATGTGCCTTTGCTACTTGTAAAATCAAAATTTGAACATTCAGCTGCCTGATTTTACAAATAGAAACAATACCTAACACAGTGGCAGCAATTGTAAAACCCATGGTAGAAAAAATTAAAATTGCATTGGTATCAGGCCATGACCCTGGAATTGTAATCATCCCGTTTACAAGTGGTTTAGCCAATTGTTTAAAAATAACCTCATCTTTCTTTGCAGCAGTAGCCATTTTTTGTAAACTTAAATGGTAAGAATGATCATCAGCCAGGATTTTGTTCATAGTGTGATGATAAATTTGGAACTTGGGGACTTCTAAATTAATAGGTTCAGGAAAAGTTGTATTTCCTAAAAGGTTCTGTAATTTATCCTCATCAAAGAATTGTTGCAAAAGTGCTAAATTTAGTGGGTGAAGTTTTGTAGAGTTCTGTTTAGAATCATAGCAAGTAACTAATCTAGGTGGCAGGTATAATTCATTAGTAGAATAGGAACATTTGCATGGAATAGTTAAAATACAGAAAGTGCAACCAGGAACAACTTTCTTTTCGTCGGGACAATTTAAAGATAAGCTCTTGATTTTGTGAACCAAACCAGTTGTCGAAGACAATTCAATAAGATTGGAATTCAAAGAATTTGGAACGAATCGAAAGTTGCACAATTTCTTAACAGCTTTAGGATCATTCATAAACATAGCCAATGCACAATCAGGAACATTAGTTGGAACTAATAGTAGATTATTCGTGCAGAGGATAGTAGTGTCGTTTACTGATTTTTATTTGAAAATTAAAATAAGTACACGGACTAACTCATGATTGATCCTTGGTGTTAAAAATTAATTTACAGGTACAACTGTGAACCCTACAACCAGGTTGTAAATAATTCAACTGACCAGGAACAAAGAAAATCAAGTACATATCTAATATATTCTTTAAAAAAAACATGGCATTTTTACGGCTCTTTTCATCTTTCTAAAAATTGTATCAAAATAAAGAAATCTTTAACAAAATAATTGAATATAATAACAGATAAAAATATTTAATATAAGAAATAATTAAATTAATTAACTTCAGAAATATATTTTTAATTGAATATTTATAATTCATCATTGTAATTTTGTAGTTTTGAATTTTAAAAATTAAAATTAAGTGTAATAAAATCTATTAGTCCCTTGAGATCAAAATTAATTTACAGGTACAACTGTGAACCCTGCAACCAGGTTGTAAATAATTCAACTGACCAGGAACAAAGAAAATCAAGTACATATCAAATATATTCTTTCCAAAAACATGGCATTTTTACGGCTCTTTTCATCTTTCTAAAAATTGTATCAAAATAATCAACCTCCATTGGCGAACCAACAAAATGCACCACAACCTAATGTTGACACCGATAACCGTGATTCTGACCCTCCTAACCAAGTTTTTCCTCCTGCAATTCAAGAGCAAACTCAAACTAATTCACAACCTCCTGACGACTCTTCACAACGTACGTGGAAAATCAAAAGTATGCCGTATGCCAAATTCAAAAACAATAAGCGCTTAATCAGAGTCATATGGGAAGATGGTTCCAGAACATGGGAGGCTGACGAAAGCTTCGACCAAGAAACACTAGACGATATCAACAGACGTTTCACCAAAGCTGGCAAACGAAAAAAGACTTATTTTGTTAAGGCTAATAGGCGACAGTCTCAAGCTTAAGCGAGTTCACTACTCACGTCCTACCTATCTTGAATTAATCCCCATTTCTCTTCTTGTCCTACTTTAAACTGAGGACTTTTATGTGTTTGTTACGTCTTCTAGTGTCAGTAACATTTGAGGTCTAGATCTACATCTACCTTTATTCTTAACTGGTATATATTGGTATCTTTTCCAGTATTAGTGAAGATTGTGTCTGCAGACAATGCTTCATTCCTTTTTCTTCTTCTGTGATGCAAATCGTGCTTGGTAATTTTTAGGGTTTGACTCCTTTCCTAGGGTATGAGCAGTTCCGTAGCTTGCTTTCTTTCCATTTTGGTACAAATAAGTCATTGACTTCTTGTGAGCTAAGTGAAACCGTGTCTTGGTCATTATTTTCATTATTTTACATTTTTGGGTAATAGAGCGCTCCCTTTCATAATTAATTACTAAAGTTACAAATCCCTTAAATCTGTATAAAAGGAATTGAGATGTGATGAAGAGTCACCCTTTTTTTGCATTACCTTGTGTATATGTTGTTTATAGTGCTAGAAAGTAAAGTCTGATCAACCTTACTTCATTCGCCTCACATCACATCTTTCTTTCTTTTGTATTTTTAGGCCTGTTTATGACCTTGTGGCACAGTTTCTTGCTCCTTCTATGTTTGTTCACCTTCATGGTTACGGCGGAAGCAGACTCCAAGACTCTTCATACAACAGCTGAGAGATCCGTTCAACGAATCAACTACGGTGTCGTATTTCAGCCGGATTCCAAGTTGATACTCTCACAGGAAAATTGGGTCCACACCTTTCATTTGAAATTACCTGGCATTGCTCGTTTACGATCATCAGTGATTCCTTCTTGCAGTGACAACACTCCCTAGCTACTGTCACACTTTGAATGACTTGATAAATGTAGTTAATACTATTCATGTGGAAACAAAAGCACATGTTAAAGATGTAACACATTCGATTAAATCTCTCATTCAAAACACCCCATTTCCTTCAAATGCAAAACGTACTAGAGCATTCCTTCCTTTTATTGGTTCACTATCAAGAAGTTTGTTTGGGACAGCAACAATTGAAGATGTTCAATTGCTAGCAAATCATGTAAATGCTTTAAATGCTCGCAGTACCAAACTTGCAGTAGCCATGCAGCACTCTCAAGCACGTCTTTCTTCTTATATGTCGGTGGTGGATAAACGCACATCTAATTTGCTAAAAGGTATTGAACTTAATCGTGCAGCTCTTACTAACATCACTTTGGCTTTCAATAAAATTGTCCAAGTTGAACAAGTTTTGACAAATATTTCAGCGATTTTGGTTCAGCAAATTAACGAAGCTAATGCAATTAGAAGTAATTTGGATAAACTTCAAGCTGCTGTACAAAGTTTAGTTGAAGGCAAATTGTCTCCATTTCTTATTCCTAGAGATACACTAAAATCAGTTATTAAAGAAATTTCAGGAACTCTAGGAAAATCCCAAAAAGACTTTTACTTGTGCCACAGTGATCCCACTTACTACCACTCAAATGCCAAGTTTATTTTTGCACGTCACCTGGGAAATATTTACATTTCCGTAAAATTTCCAGTATCGACTCACCAATTCCCTCTTTCCCTTTAAAAAAAATACTAACCTTACCAGTTCCTCTAAATGAAACTTCATCTCATGCTACTAAACTGCTATCAATGCCCACTTATCTAGCAATAACTCATCATCGAGATTACTATCTTACTCTGAAAACTCAAGATTTAGAAAACTGCATGCATGGTACTACTGTCGTTTACTGATTTTTTATTTGAAAATTAAAATAAGTACACGACTAAATTAAATAAAAATCAGTAAACGACACTTGTACCAACTTTGCAGAAAATATGATCCAGGTTAGAGTTGATTTTAACGTAGGGCATACTACAAGGGCATTGTCATTAGAACAACAATAATGGTACCAAAAGAAATGTGGTCACAAAACAAAAATGCAGAAGTGAAATACAAACGTCCTAGCAGCAACCATTAAAGATGTGTAGATGAGATATCAAAGAAAGCGTCGGACTCGTGGAATATATTTGTGCTTCATAAATGCCTGAGTGCCAGCCGTTGAAATGTTTCGGTGGCGTCTCCATATGAGTGAAGAATTCTAGAGAGGGACGTTAAACAAGCGATCAGATGCTGTCGTCAATGTAAAAATTTGTTAATTTTTGCAAAAGATGTTCGAACTTTAAGATCCAGTTCAACAAGTCAATGTGTTGGTACTCCAAAAAGGTCTTGTAAAGAGAAATACAGATTTGAAAATATGTGTGTCATAACATCCAGCATTTAAACGATGTGGGCAAGGTTGAAGTTTGTGGAAATCAGATAAATAGACAGACAGCATGGGCGGACTTAAAACTAAATGTCCCCGAAAGCTCGGTTAAAAAGGCTTTCAACTTGATCAGATTTCACATGCTTATAATTACCAGCATATGCCTTTTCTTACTAAATGTAATATTTCGGTGTTGTAAACATGAATAACATTGTTTTTCAGACTATTTGTGATTACCTACATTAATAATTAATAACACATATTATTATGTACCCTCTCTTAATTAAAGCATAATTACAGTGGAATGTCATTTTTTCAACTGATTTGGTAGTACATGCAAATGGACGTGTACACGCATCTATATATCTATTTTATATTTTTCCCCATTCTTATAATTATGTAATTCTATAAAATGCCCAGCCTCTCTGTACCTCTTTTTTCTGACAAAGACGGAGATGACAATGATAGAAATAAGTAAAACAACGGCTCCAGTGACGGATCCAGCAATTAAATACACGGCTGTAAAAGAATAAAAGTTAACATTAAAATAATTTTGATTTAAGATATTACAGATGTACTATCGAAAAACATATGCATAACCGTTTTTAAATCTACATTTTACAGCAGTTCTTAGAAGAGAAGACGATAAGCTAGACTCATGCTAAATACTCTTATATAGACACTGTAGAGGGGGTTTCCTTTCCTTCGAAAGGAATTTTCTTGACATATTGGGGAAAACATCATTTACTTTTAGAATTTAAACAAATAATGCATAATGTTATCTCCATATGATTTTTAAAAATTACAATTAGTAATGTCCTAAATCAAATATAGAAACCTGAGATCTACGGGTATATGGTAAATAATATTTTAAGATTTCCTCAAGATGAGATTAAAATAAGTACAATTCATACAAAAGTACTTACTTTCTTTTGTGTGAGAAAATGTTTTCAGGAATGCAGACGTATCTAAAGAATTGATTGACCAATAGGAAATTCGTCAAAATAAGGTAAACACAGACATACTTAATTTTTCAAATATTACAGTAAATACTATACATTGATTTAAATGGTCTTTGTGTACTATGAAATGTACATGTTAAGAGGCATGAATACTTACTTTGAGACCCAAGAGGAATTTTGCAGACAAATGGAAGCTTTTCACTGCAGCTTATTTTTTCATATAGCCATGCACCTGCATACTTTTTGATTTTATAGCAGTCTTTATCTATATAAATAAAGAAATTGTTGAAGTTAAAAAATCAATGTATGACGAGTCAGTGAATCCATTTACTTACTTTCATTTGCCATTTAGCAATATGCTAGTCGCAATGAATTCAATTTGAAATTTATGATTGTTTTTGTTTTCCTCTCAATTTAGTTATACACAATCAATGAGGCAATTTGGAAAAAAAAGTGTCAAAGTTACATATAACTATGTTCTTTTGCATCTTATAGTGTCCAGAATTATTCCAAATTATATCAATGATGTATGCTTGCTTAAAGTTGTTTATTTTTTTTTTTTCGTTATTTTCAGGACGTACTACCGTTATTGTGATAAATTCTGTAAGTTCTTATTCCGATCCAAGCGTCTTTACAATGCGAAGATGAAAGCATTCTCTCAAAATAAGCAGTTACGTAAAGGTGTTGATCTGTGCATGCCATGGAGTAATCATTCCAAGTCTTATTAAATTGTTTCTGTAACTTCATTAATCTATTAACTACAAAAGAAATAATATCTGTCGAGTTATGTGTAAAATGGAAATTTCTTAATTGATAAGAAACAACTTCTCAATGACAGTTTGCTGTGCTCTCCCAATGCTATTAAATGAATTGGTGTTTCTTTATAACTTGATGCAAAAAATTGAAATTCAATATAGGGATAAAACAATGTCAACATAAGGCAATATTCATACTAAGCGTATACCTTGAATAATGCGTTGCCAAGCATAACAAGAGAGAGAGAGAGAGAATGTTCTAGAAATACCGCAGTATCCATTAAGCCTTTGGTCACAATCCTGCCCAATAAGTAAGTCTGTCTCTGATACACATTTGTATCCCATACAGAATCCATCACCGCTCCCGTTATAGCTGTTAACTGAAAAATTAATGTAACATTCCTCATCATGATAGAATACTTACTCCTCCATAGCACCTGTTCACATCTCTAAATTTAGAGGTTCGTGTTTGCTCTGCTCCAAACAGTTTAACTTGTATTTTCAATTGGACTTTTGAATTTGAAAACTTTATTTTCATATTTCAAATTTCATTTAAATTATGGCCATTGTAAATATTCAAATGTTGGAGCGAGGCGAACTTTTAAGACCAAACAACTTCGAGGTCATTGTGCGTCCTAACATAGCAATACGGTGGCCCTTTAGTTTAATAAATGTAGTTTTTCTCGGAATTTATTCGTCTCAAATGTAAATACAATACATAAATAACAATGTTAAAAAGTCCTATTGGAAATGAACTTAGTTGGTCACGTGATCAAATCCTGTGAAGCCCTGATCAAATCTACTGAGAAGCCCTTAGGGCTTCACAGTATTTGATCACGTGACCAACTAAGTTCATTTCCCATAGAACTTTTTAATATTGTTGTTCCTTTTTAATTGAATTGTAATGAGTCAGTACCTTCATATAGGGTAATGTAACCATTCCCGCCACAGTATCCATCATCTTTGACGTCATTGCACGTGATATTACACTTGTTACTGTCCACTAGCTTCCAGTCTAGGAAACGGCAAGGGCAATAACATGTCTCTCCCTTAAAACCATATGATCCTATTATGAAAAGCTGATGGCATTCCACTACTGATAATTACTTACATGTATTGATGATAGATGAAAAGATATAATAATTGTATTTGAACATTTAAATTTGAAAATTATTTTTTTTTATTCATAAACCCTTACCCCTAAGGCGATAAACTTGCAACTGCTTGGTAGATAAGTTTTACATTGTAAAAAGCAATTTCCAACTGTGTTGTTGTGTAGTTTTGTCCGATAAATATTTTGTTTCGGTTCAAGGTAGCACCCTAAGGTTCAAATATAAAAAGCAATACCATTTCGACTTAGTATATAAATTATCTTCTTGCATTTTTCTTCTTAAGGAAAATTATAAGGAAAATACATGTATATAAAGAGATGCCGAACCTCTGGACGCTATCCATGGAGTAAATAAACCAGAAGCGGACGACCAAAATGGCGAAACTGCTTCTAAATCAACATGGCCTTTGATACCGCTGGTGGCTTCTAAATCGGCGATCCTGACTAATGTTCCATTGAGATGATTGCATCTATTATTCGCCATATTCCAATCCAGGTCATTTTGTTCAACATGAAACAAGTTTTCTATGGAATCTAAAAGAAGAAATAATTTATGTTGTTAAATAAGTAGGAATGTTCATTTTATTTACAATGGCAAATATGTATTAATTAATAATTTCATATAATGTAAATGCTTAAAAATATAGTAATCAACTCACCTATTTTTGGAAATAAGATGTTTAAAATGATTATAATTTTTATGAATAAATGTAAAATGCATGTTAATATTTCCATGTCAGCCTAAAATATGAGATAAGATAAAATGTTCTTCCCTGTTTAATCACAGCATGAAGTAATCCGAATTCCCTTTAAGTTCCTAGTGTTATCGCAAGAATTTTATCTTATTTTATATTGATACAAACGTACATAATGAATTCATATTTTTAAAAAGAAAATTACATATTGTAGGGTTAAACGAGAAATCATAGATTACCTCATGCAATTTCATGTATGTCTATTAGCAATGGTGAATGTAATTCATAACATTCAAGCAAAAAAATAACATCATGAAGATAAGAAAAGGAGATAAAAACATAATTTTATTCTGTTAGATTTAATGAATAATTCACATTTTGAACATTAAACCATAATTCAAATAAGAGTTATCTTTCTTTGCATGTTTTAACGATTAGCATGGATAACAGTTTAAATCGACTGCAGCCTAGTGTTCTGAATACAAATAGTTATTTATTCCACTTATTAAAACACAGTAAAAAAAAAGTGTGTGTTCGCTTAAAAGAAAAAATGAAAACAAGAGATGACGTATCATTTTACTCTCAATAAAGTCACGTCGTACTTGGAAATACCAGGTATTAAAAATCCTATAAAATAAAAACAGAATATAATCTTCCTTCTCAGAATGACTCGCCATTTCATATTGAACAAAATTTCAAATGCATTAAACTTCCTCTTCCTTGATTCACACAAAAAATGAAACATAAGTTCGCGACCATGCAGCGCCCCAATACATGCTTTTCAATCAACTTTCGTAGCTTCATGTATTCCACTTCTTTTTCAATTCCGATGAATATCTTTTAATATTACATCGTTTTATCACAGGAAAAGCTTTGGTTTTCTGTTTTTTATCATCCCATTTAGTTGAATAATTTATCATAAGTCAAATACATATATGAAATACTTGCAACTCATTTAAAATTACAGAAAAAAGTCCATGTAAAATAAAGCAACAAAAGACTGCAGATTAGTTTTTAAATAGGACATGATGATTTTTCTGGAAAATGTTAATATTGATCGTCCTAGTCATTCAATTTTCTCTGCAAATTTATGTGCAAAGACTTTGTTACAGGTCAACTAAGGATACCGATATAATAACCATGCAGAACACTCCTAAGTTAACTGACCCCCGTTTTCTTTTCTTCAGATAATTGAGGGGTTAAGTGGGGACGTGTAACGGGATCCTCCGCAAAGAGGGTCGGCGGGCTTGACCGTGCACCCGGGCAGTGGTGGAACAGCTCACAATACTGGAACAGGAATGACCGCTGCTGAATCTCATTAAGGAAGATTTACTTTGACGATGGCGGTTCATTAGGTGATCTTACAAGAACGTCCACAATGGTGTCAGCGAAGTCCGGGAGATGGCCATATGCCTGCAAAGATCATTTGATGTGTTTCTTTACTAGATCATAATTCAATAGGGTGACGGTCAGTGTCGAGAAAATTGAATTTCTTTTCAACACGAAGGGAATTAGTTTATCAAAATTATAGCATTTTGCACATCACTTTTTATGGGGTATTGCATGTCAGAGATAATAAATGTAGCGAATTTGGCTTCAACGCAATTAAAAAGTTGATCAGCTGCTATTTCTAGAAATTCGTTTTTAAAATCTTATTTTATTTCATATCAGATCTTCACTGTTAAGAAGAATTTGGCCAATTACTGGTATATCTTAAAATAAAGAAGGAACAAATAAATACAAAACACTTAACATATAACGATGCATTACATGAAATATAGAGATAACGAACCGTAATCAAGCCCAAAATACAAACTGCTATCAGAGCAAACCCAGACCTCTAAAGCCCTAAACATAAGAGATTGGATCAGGTGTCATAGAGGAGTGAGCATACCCGCCGTGTGTTCCTTGCCATGATCGGAAAAACGGAAAACTTCGAAGACAATTCATTTGTTCATACATATTTGTAATTAAAAGCATCTTGTTTTTCAAATATAAGACCGTTCAAAGGTAATTATATCTTTAACGTCACGTCACGCGCTGGTTTCGGAGAAATAGGGACTCTTTTAAAAAGAATCAAATTATGGAGGGTAATCGTGTTTAAAAATCCAGACTTGTTAATTTGTAAATGCAATCTTGTAAGTTTGTAAATTTGTAAATGCAATCTTGTAAGCTTGTAATAAAATAAAATCAGACTTTTTTATTGAGGGGGCACAAGCATATGATAGCTATATTTTCTATAGTATTCTTTGTATATCTATATCGACAAAATGCCCCCCCCCCCCGGCCCCTACGGCCATGAAGGAAATAAAATAAAACTGAAAAATATAAACAAGAAGTTAGAACTAAAATAAGAAATAAAAATGAAGTCGTTAGAATTTACATGTATTTAAACTGGAAAACAAGAAGTTTAATAAAAAATTTTTTAAAAATATTAAAAAATGAATTGTGGCACTGATGGCCCTCCATAGTTTTTCGTAATCGAAATTCGACAAATGTAAGAGTTGTGAATTGTCTTTGTGTTTTATTCAAAGCGCGGAAATATAAATTCCGGAAAACAAAGTTTACAACATCAAACATACACACATTCATAAGAACTTAAAGTCAACACAGTTGTAATTTCAGAACTACACTGTACATGCTTGGAAGTCTGAATTTCCTACTTATATATGTATACTATGAAACTGATACGATATAAAGTTTGGATTTACAAACTTACAAAATTGCATTTACAAACTTACAAGTCTGGATTTTTGAACATGATTACCCTCCATATCAAATGTCCCTATAGATTTTACAGTTTGTATTCTTGTTACTTTTACTTTCAGCAACCATAACCTGCAAATCATAGGAATAGATAGGATTAGACAAAATTTGGACTCTGTAGGAAGAATATTTAATTAAAATTGGTTTATCATGCAGATCAACAAAATTTAATGTAAGTCTTGGTGCAATTTTACAACCCTTGCAAGAAACTGATTTAAATGTAAACATGTAATATGAAAATTTCAATTTGTCATTTTAATTTCACTGTTTTTCATTTTTAAATTTTAAGTCCATCGGACGGGGCATTAATTGGTAACCCGTGTCAAGGATTGCAACCCTCTCCGCAAGGTAAAAATCGTGTCTATGATTTACATACATGAGTGTAAAATGTGGGTCTACATACATAATTACTTGCTTCACATAATTGCGAAATGGGTAATATCAGACGAGTTCCTTGCTTTTTTTTTTTTTTTTTTTTTTTTTTTTTACAATTTTGATATTTTACGTGCCAGGAAAACCTAAGAACCAGCA